CATCTGTTCTGTGATTTGATTGGTGTTTCGTTTGCCTCCCTGTAAAAGGTTTTATTACCATTATTTTCCTGAACTGTGTGGATATACAAGAAGCAACGATTCTCTTCACCGTATACTTTGACAACTATTAGTGCACGGTTTACGATAGCCATAATATACTTAAAAAGGTAGAAGCACTAATAATAGTTTTTACTATGATTGACAGTAGTTTACAGTGGTGAGTTGCACCATGTATAGAATGAATACAATGCGAACAATGGAATAAGTCAAAGATGACTTATCGTTTGTGAATAACCCGTGAGAGTTCCTGGACGAAAGTCCTAACGGAGGACCGTGCTTTGTGCGCTGTACAGCTGATACATATATTCCGTATTTGTCCATGGATTTGTAGAATTTGGTCGACTCCTTGCTCCCTGGCCTCTCGGTGAACCTGATGGGTCTTGGAGGATTTTTAGCTGTTCGTGTGATATAGATGTCTCAAGAAATGCTGGGACTAAGCCCATATCGGGAGCCACCAGTAACCAAGTTACTCGACAGTCAGTTTAAGTCCCCAGATTCAAAATGTGGGATAGCCCAAGAATCAGTACTGATTGTGAAGGATGGAATAATACGTCATACTCGTCTAGCGGAAATACAAAGCAGTAGATGAGGCTAATGAGCAAGTTTCCTTATCATCTGTTGTTTATGATAAACCATATGTCATCACCAAATCTTAGGCTCGAACTAAGTAATGAGGGGTTAGGTTAGGAAGCATCAGAGTGCACTCTGCAAAAGGAGAAAGAAATGCGGGACCTCAGGAGTGGTCAAAGCGCGAGGTCATTCATGCTGCCATTGACTGGGTCATCTTGGGGAGGTTATGTTCCCACACGTCCTTCAACCCGTAAAATTCAATGAATATACAGGGATGACAGATATGAAAGAATGTAAGGATCGTTAAGCTGCTTAAGTTGGAGGAAGAAGTTTGTATCCAAGGGAGTCCGAGTGCACCAAAGTTTGAGAAGTGGGTAGCGCGCACCGGCGCAGTGAAAAGGTTGGTAGGTCTGACTAAGGAGTTTAGAATTAGGTAAGCGGACGCTAGATGGCGATGTGGCCCGTATCGGTATGGCACTCTATGGCATGAGTCAAGAGGTGATGGATTTTGATTCCCCCTGGGACTCAATGGGGAACAGCCCGATTTGTTTTGTCTAACACTGCTTCGTTCCTACTCAAGGTCTACTAATTCTTCAGCAACTGGTGTCAATGTTTTGTTACCCGTCCGTCATTGCTTGCATGGATTCACGGATTAACGGGTTGATACACAGGATCGAGGCCTTCGCCCAAGTTTCCCGGGTCGGTTTTGTTCTTGTCGGTCAGTGGCTGTCGTTCACCTGAAAGGCACAAGTGAAAAAAGGGTGTAGCACTGCTCTTTATGTTCTCAGCGAGGGGCAGTATGCTCGCCAGCGCGAGGATTCGCATAAATAAATGTCTAATAGTGCTTTAAATTGGGTTCGAGAAGGAGCGTGTACAACCGTCGGAGGAAGGTCATTCCACGCAGCTACTAACCGAAATGAAAAAAAGTTTTGTCTA